AGAAGGTGGACGAGAGTGACCTGAGCGAGGGCTTTGACTCCGATTCCAGCCCCGATTCCACCAAGGGCAGCGACGGATCTGAGACAGGCTCAGAGAAGAGCGACGAGGAGGCTGAGGCAGCTTTTGATATGGAGACTGACTCAGACATGAACAGCCAGGAGTCCCGCTCGGACTTGGAGGATATAGAGGACGAGCCGGATGCAGAAGGGGGAGGCCAAGCAAGGAGCATGAGGAACGGAGACCAGGAAAACTTAAGCTCTGTGGAAGGTGAAGGGAAGCTGGTGGACTCCAAAAGCCCTGGCATCACCAAGACTGAGCCCTTGGAGCCCGTGGCCAATGGGCCAAGCTCCCTGGGCACCAGTGACGCCAGCATAGCCAGCAACCTCCAAGCCATGTCCACGCAGCTCTTCCAGACCAAGCGTTGCTTCCGACTGGCCCCCACATTCAGCAACGTCCTCCTCAAGCCCAACTGTGAACCGCCCGCCCAGAAGGAGGCAGCGAACAGCAAGCCTTGTGTCAATGGGGACGTGGAGAAGCCTGGCATGGCTGAGCAAGGTAAGAGAAGGAGTTTACAAGACATTTCCAGGCCTGGATCTGCCCAAGTTTGGTTCCCACAGTTGCACAGAGAGAGAGAGAAAGGAAGAAAGTGGGTTAGATGAGGCTTCCTCCTTGCCTCCCCTCTCCTCACTTTCTGCCACCTCCTACTTTCCCTCTTGAAGGTGGTCCTCTTGACAGACTGATGACAGGTTTTTTTGGGGGGGGGTGGACACACACAATTCTTGATCGTTTATTTGCCATAGGTCCGTTTACAAAGGTTGTGTGCCTGAGATTTTGTAGTTAGAGATGGCTGTTCACAGGATGTTATGCAGCCGTCTGTGAACTGCTGGTGTATTTAGTTATTTATTTCATAGAATGGGTAAGGGGAGAAATTTGTGAGCCACTTTAGCTCCCCGTTGGGGAGAAAAGCTAGGTTATAAATGAAGGAGATATTTCTTTTTGTACCCCACCCCCTCCCAGGTGGGGACCCAAAGCAGCTTTCAGTGTTCCTCCATGTTATCCTCACAACTCTGTGAGGTAGGTTTAGGCTGAGAGTGTGTGACTGGCCCAAGGACACCCAGCAAGCTTCCACAGTAGAGTGGGGATTTGAACCTGGGTCTTCCAGATCCTTCTGTGACACTCAAGCCACTATACCACACAGGCTCTAAATTTAAGGTTGATAGAGTTTTGCTTTATACTTTCACTTGTAAAGCTTATTGGTTCTGGGTAAGCCTCAGTCAAGAAGCTGTTTAATCTCAGTCAAGAAGCCTGAGTGAAGAAGCTGTTTAACATGTGGAATTTGCTGCCAGAGGATGTAGTGATGGCCACAGGAATAAACAACTTTAAAAGGAGATTACATAGATTCATGGAGGATGTCTGTCAATGGCTCCTGGCCATGGTAACTGAGGGAGACCTCCAGAGAGGCACTATTCCTCTGAATCCTGGAGCCAGGAGGCAACATTAGGGAAAGGCCTTGGCCTCTGTGCCTTGTTGTTGGCCCTCCAGAGGAACTGGTTGGCCACTGTGTGAGACAGGATGCTGGACTAGATGGTCTATTGGTTTGATCCAACAGGGCTCTTCTTACTTATGTTCTTAATCTGGGAGAAAGAACCAAGTCTTTAAGCATTATCCTACCCCATTCTTAAGGAAACCAGTAAAGACCTTCACTGGAAAAACTGGTAGCTTTGTGTGTAACATACATGCTTCTAATGAAAGTGGGTGTGACTGATTAAGTAGGTTTTTGAATGGTGCTCTGTCTATTCAGCAGCCAAAACTAATGAGCAATCAGGCTTGCTGAATTTTGTGGGAGATGCAGATCTTGTTTGAAATAACAGGGAGTTGGTAGTAGTTAAAATGCAGGGGAGCAGAGACTCTTGAGTGAGATTCTGATGAGTTATTAAATGTGTGAGAGTGGGGTGCGCTTAGGTCAGAAATTGAAGTGTTTTTTACTCTGAAATGTGAGTCTGGCAGTTCAGATTTCTTTTTTGAGACCTTCATGATTAATTCCACCATTTTCATGCTCTTTGGGAAAACCTACTGAGAGCTCTCTTAACCACTACAGACCTTGGTATAGTGGGACTGGGAAAGATCTTGGTCTGAGACTTGAGACCGATATGGTCAGTCAACTGAGACATTACAGATGGACTAGTGTTCTCCATCAGTGGAGGAAGGTATCCTTACTGTGGGTTATGCCACCTCCTTGCTCAATTAATTAATGTGAATTAATTGCACACCTTCCTGCTCAGCTAGAGGGCCCCCCCACTCCATGCTGTGCTCTGCAGTAGGATGAGCTTCCCATATCCCCCCCCCATTACGCTTTGCAGTCTTCTGATTCCTACTATGCCTAAGGGTCTTAAAAATCACTAGCCCTCTACAACATGACACAGGTTTTAGGCCAAGAGTCCCCAACCTTTCTGAGCCTGCAGGCACCTTCGGGATTTTGAGAGAGGGTGGTAAGTACCACCCCAAAATGGCTGCCGGGGGGCGGGTAGGGCCAGACAGAATACCTCCCTCTCACACCTGATGGGGAGAAAAGAAGTCTTGAAGGGGGAATGAAACCACACACTGAGTAAGGAAAGGCCAGGTGCATGCCAGTCTTCCTGTTCCTCCAGTGAAAATCCCCTTTCATTTGAAAGAGGGCAGCCAATAGCCCTGCCTTAAAATGGCCCCACCCACTTTCTGAAAAGGATGCCACATTGGGGGACGCTGCTGGGGGCGGTGGTCTGGGGACTGGAGACCGCGTTGCTGCACAGCTGTCCAAGGCGATCAGTTTCCCTGAACTCAAAAGTAGCTGTTGATCGAGGCATTTGCAGTGAAAGCCAAGCTTCTTTCCATTATAAGCAACTGTGGGCAGAAACAATTTTGCCTCACCTTGATTAAAATTTGGTCAGGTTTCTGGGGGCCAGATAAAATTGCTGGGCAGGGGGAAAGATGCCTCTTACCTACAGAGGAGTAATTTTGTTCTTTTCTTTAAAAAAAACCCAAAACTCTCTCTCTGTCTCACACTCACACACACTCATTTGCATAGCCAAGTTTCGTGTTTCAGTGTACTCTTTGCTTGTGTCTCCAGATGATGCTTCAGAGTCAGAAGAAAGTGTTGCCAGCAGCAAATCCTGCCGGAATGAGCGTTCTCTCCAGGAGAAGCTGGAGATCATAACCAAGGAGGGACTGCTGCCGACTGTCAAGGTCTTCCTGGACTGGCTGAGAACAAACACAGACCTTATCATTATGTGTGCACAGGTAAGTTTGTGCGCCAGTTAGAGAGAGTGGAGGGCAAGTTCTGTGGGCTCAGACTCTGTCAAATGAATCCAGCCTGAGTTGACTACACATCAGGATCCTGGTTTGGTGGTGTAATTTGCTCGCTTTTGCCTTTGTAAGTTCAGATCCTGGTGTTTTCAACCTCCCTAGAATTGGCGTTCATACTGCCGTGGTAACATGCTAAAGAGTAGATGTAATGGGTGGGGGGCAGTAAGTGTGGGTATTGCAGTTTGCAGAGGAGCCAGATTGTGGCCTACAAGCCATGTGTATGTCTGCATTCACTTAGAGCACAGAGGTTTTCTTCCTTGGGTCCCCATTGCAGGCAGCTACCCACATACTTCCCCCAGAATGTTCCTCCAGTAAAATGAGGACTATTAGAAACTTGGCTTGTTAGAAAGCTGCAGTTCTCAGAAATCTTGTTCCTCTTAACTTGCAATTTTGATTTTTTTTAAAAAGAATTTCATGTTCTTATTCCACCTATCTTGCTTAGGGAGCTCAAGGAGGCATCAATGAAACCTAAATTGCATGCACTGGTGCCAGGCCTGTGCCTCAAGCAGAGGTCTGGTCCAGCCATGTCTTGTAGCTGGGGTGAGACTTAATGTTTTAAAGGAGCATGGTGGGAGGGCAGCAAGGGAACTCTGAATCCTCTTCCCACCTGCCATGCCTTCTCTGAGCTGGGCTCATGGTTGGTTATCATAGCTGGGTGAGGGGCATGGACCGTAGGAGCAGAGGGTCCTTCCGGCCCTTCCAGTGACGCTTGTGGTTGAGTTCACCACACTTTGCCTTAGGTGGAACTGGGCCATGCATGTCTGAAGGCCATCTCCTGTTGCTGCTGCTTGTGGCATAAGCGTGAACTTAGCCCACTTCCTCCTTGCAGCAGCACCTGTGAGGAAGAGCCAGGCTGAGAGGAAGAGCCAGGCTGAGAAATAACAACTTGCAGAATCTTCATAAGAAAAATGTGCATCTGGGTCACCTGGGTCCAGGGTCCTTATACTGTACTTTTCGGGCTTGATTCCCCCCCATTTGTTAATTTCCATTTTTAAAAAATTCCCCTAGAGCTCTCAGAGTTTGTGGAACAGACTGTCTGTCCTTCTGAACCTGCTTCCTTCAGCAAGAGACTTGCAAGACTCGGGTAATGTTGCAAAATCTTTCCATTAATTCTTGTGGACCCTCACCCTTGACCCTTTCTGTGCTGCTCAAATGTCACCGTCCTGAGTTTGGGGTGGGGCCTTCTTATTTACGCTTAGTTCTTCTGTTGGATTCGAGATCATCCAGAGTTTCAGGGATAAGCTTTCGAGAGTCAAAGCTCCCTTCGTCAGACATGAGTAGAGTAGAAATGGAGATCCTTTTATCCTAGTTAGAAGGTGGAGGAGGTGTTGTTGTTGTAAAGGATGCAAAGATACAATGTAGTTCTTCTCTGATTGTTAATAACTTGGGGGGGGGGGAAGAATGGTAGCAAGTCCTGGCCCGGCCCCCCCCCCCCCCCAAATCACAACAGCCATCCAGAGTTACCCACGCTTAATAGCTTGGAGGTTTTGGAACCAGATAGAAAATGGCTTAGTTTCAGAGGGCAGTTGTGTTGGTCTGCAGGAGAAAAGCTGGTTTCGAGTCCAGCAGCACCATGGCGACCAACAAGATTTTGGGGGCATGAGCTTTTGAGAGTCAAAGCTCGCTTCATCAGATACTAATGGTTTGTTGCATTGGATTGTGGGAATTCTCAGTGTTGGGCCTCTTAGCGACTACCGTGTGTTAATGCTTTAGTTCAGTCAGTGTGCCAGGCACTGAAACATGATGGATGCAACTCCTGCCTGGGGAAGTTAGGATGTCCCCATCCCGGCAGCCTCTCGTCTTTACTCCTTAAGCATGCCAGACCTGATTTGTGTCCAATGGGAGGGAGAAGGGGTAGTTGAAATGGAGCTGCCCAAAAGCATATGATACGACTCCCCTAAACACAGACCTGTTTCCACGAGAAGGGGTGGTTGAAATGAAGCTGCCCAAAAGCATATGATGTGACTTAAAGACTCCCCTAAACACAGACCTGTTTCCACTTCGCTCCATTAAACTAATGGGCCTTCCTTCCTACCCTTTCCTCTTCCTTTGATGTTTGGCATATTTTATGGCTGCTCTCTCTTGGGGACCAGCAGCTCAGGCCCAGCGAGCAAGCCTGACCTGGAAACTTCATAGAGGTTGGGAAGGACTTACTTTTGGCTTGTCAACAGGTGTCTGCGGCTGGAGTTTTGTGCATCCTGGATGTCAGTAAAAACAGAAAGTTTTCAGTTTGTGATTCTCTTTTTCATTCCATTAGCTCATTTGTGCCCTGGCTTTCTCCCCAGTGGAGACCCAAAGCAGGTTAGATTGTTCTTCTCTCCTCCATTTTATCCTCACAGTGACCCTGTGGGGTAGGTTAGGCTGAGAGTGACGGGCCCAAGGCCACCCAGCAAGCTTCCGTGGCAGAATGGGGATTTGAACCTGGGTCTCCCATGTTCTCCTGGTCTGACACACCGGCCACTTTGCCACACTGGCTCTTACAGTGCTGGGCGTGGAGGTGTGTCACTCAGTCCTTTAGCACTTCTATGTCGGAAACACTCTTTTTTTGCATCAGAAACTGAGTGGGCTACCTGTTTTCAGTTGCAGATTTGAGAGCCGTGATAAGTCTGTGTCTTGTTCAATGCTCCCTCTAAGCTGTGGAGTCTTGTGAGCAAAAAATTCTGCTTTGTGAGCTACTGGCATTAAAGTTGTGAGCGAGCAATTTGGCCGCTGCATAAATCAGTTTGCGTTGGAGCCCTCCTTCCTGAGCTGAGACAAAAGTGTGTGAGCCCAAGGCTAAGAAACTGTGAGCCAACTCGCACTAACTCTGCTTAGAGGGAACATCGTTCCTCTGCTACGGTGAGTATTGAGAGGTTGTCTTGTTCTGTCCTCCCCCAGGGTTGGTCTTCTGCAATGAGGTGAAGAACATGTTGCCAGGGTGCGAGCTTCCGGACCTGAGCTCCTGCTTGCTCCTTCCGGAAGACGTGGCCCTCCGTCACCTTCCCGCACTGAAGAATGCACACAAGAGGTCTAATTTTGAGCAGGACAGACCTGTGCTCTCAGAAGTGGAGGAGGTGAGAGCCTGGCTTTTGACAGGTTAAAAAAAAGAACTTTACGTATTTTTGGAAGATGGGGAAATGTGAGAGAGCGATAGCGCCTTTGTTCAGCTGCTTAAATATGGATAGGCTAAGATGAAGTAGTACTGGCTTGAGCGATTATCCATAATAATTCTGGCTGTTTCACGCCGTGCGTTTTCCTTGGTGCTCAGAGCCACAGCTCAGTAATAACCCTGCGAGGCAGGCCAGTGTCACCACCCACATGCTGCAGGTGTAATTGGTGACTGAGGCAAAGGAATCCTAGTCAGTGGAGAGGCTAGTGTGTGAACGAAACAGAGAGAGACAGCACATGTTAACAGTTGGCTGCTGGCTTAGATGGCTTGAAAGGAAGACTGCACAGACTCATGAAGGAGACAGGTCTATCAGTGATGGCTAGCCTCAGTGGAACCTCTGCGCATCCATTCCTGTGGGCAGGCCATGGGGAGACTGCCGCCACCTGTGCGCCTGGCTTGTGAACTTCCCAGAAGCATCCGGCTGGTTATTTCACATGTTGGGTAGGACATCATTTACTGTGCCGCTGGCCTCCCTGTGTTACAGACACCTGTCCTTTTCCCTTCTCAGTCAGTGGTTCGTATCTGCTGCATCCGGAGCTTCGGGCACTTCATCACCCACCTGCAAGGCAGCATCCTGCAGTTCAACTCTGAGGTCGGGATCTTCATCAGCATCGCTCAGTCCGAGCAGGACAATTTGCTGCAGCAGGCCCAGGCCCAGTTCCGCATGGTGAGATTCCGGGAGAAGGTGTCCGAGGTAGAACGAACACACTCTTACCTCTGGAGCAGATAGACTGCCCCATCCCATGCCGTATACTTGTTAACCAGGGATTGCATCGTAGGATGTAGCGTGTTCACAAAGTTCTGCACCCTGAGATATGTCACTTCTTTCTTTTAAAATGCGAGTTTTCTAGCCCTCGTGAAGTCAAGATCACTCTAAGGTTTATAAGAAGGCGTCTGGTAAATCGCAGAAGGGGGATAGGGAAGAGCATGGGAGCGTAACTTCAGTCTTCTCAGCTTATTGCTCTTCCCCCATATTTAGGAGCAGTGGCATTAGTATTTCTGCTGCCACTCAATTAAAGGCATCTTCACTGAGTATGTGATTTAGTACGATAAATCTGCACAGTAGTCAACTAATCCAGTTGAAGGAAAGAAAAGCACATTTGAGACAACTTTTATGAACACACAGCAACTACTGCCGTGTATCGTTTCAGCCACATGGAAATTAGCAGCAACTGTAAGCCAATTTGACTTGGGGTTTCCTTTTCCTGCTAGGCGGCTGAGGAGGCACGACGGAACAGGCTCATGAGGGACATGGCTCAGCTTCGCCTGCAGGTATGATGGGGGGGCGGAATGGATAGCAGTATTAAATCTGTACAGGGAGATGTGGGGAAGTGGCGTTTGTATCCAGTATGAATAGGGACCAAAAAGAACTTGGTTGAATGGAGGCCATTCTTGTAGGTGCCTCCTCTAGTCTGAAAAGAGAGAAGCTGCCATTGTTGGTCAGAACATGGTGCTGCTTGTACCAAAGTCTTGGTTTGGGACCCATGCTGGCCCAGAGAAGAGCCTTCTGGTTCTCTCCAATGAAAAGGGACTATCGTTCAGGGCAGAGCACCTGTTGTTTTTATGCAGAACGGCTCCACTTCAGTCCTTGGCATCTCCCATTAAGAGATCTTGGCCTGGGAGAGACCTTTGCCTGGAATAACTGAGATAGCCAGTCCTGAGCAGGAGAGACCAACATTCCTATGAAACACATCCCTCTGCCTGCAACTGGTTCCTTCCTTCCCAAGAGGCCTCCTGCATTTGCGGTCACTCTTGGGATTTTGAGAGGTAGTTGCTGGGGAATCGCTCCCTAAAGTCATGGGCTCCCTTCTCTTTTGCAGCTGGAGGTGTCGCAGTTGGAAGGGAGTCTCCAGCAGCCCAAAGCGCAGTGTGTCATGTCCCCCTACCTAGTCCCCGACACCCAGGCGCTCTGCCAGCACCTCGGCACCATCAGGCAACTGGCCGCCAGTGGAAGGTTTATCGTCATCATCCCACGGACAGGTATTTAAGAATCATGACTACATTTATGTAGTGCTTTTGAGAGTGTTACTTTACTGTAACTTTACAACAGCCTTGTAAGGTAGATTAATTATTCCCCATGTTGGAGGGGTGGATTTCAGACCCCCTAGTGAATTTAGGGCAAATATAAGATTCGAACCAGGGTACAGTAACTGTGTATGTATTTAGAAAGGGGCCCTAGCTCCTTGGGTGGCACAGCAAACGATAAGGAGCTTGCTTTTGTTTCCTCATTAGTAATTGATGGCTTGGACTTCCTGAAGAAAGAGAATGCAGGAGCGCGCGACAGTATCCGATACTTGGAGGCAGAATTCAAAAAGGGAAACAGGTGCGTTGGGTCTGCTTGCCCTGTAGATGATATTCCTTGCAAAATGACACACTTTTCATTTGAATTGGGACAAAATTAGTTGTAGAGCGCGTTGTTGGAATCTACATTGAGGGAGCATACATGGTACCATCATTGCACTTGTTAGTGACCCCTTGTGAAGGGACAACATGCCTCACTGAGACTTGTGCAGATGTGTGGACCTCTGGGATGGGGTGCTCCAACCCTCGTAATTGACTTGCCTGAGTGAGCCCTCCCCAAGAACTCTGGGGTTTTAGAAGTTGCCCATGACACCCTAGAGCAAGATGCAAAAAGTTAATATTTGTGTGTGTGTGATGCTCTTTGCAATCCTTGCAGGGCCTAGCCTGCACCAGTCCCTGCTTATCATATGCCATATTCCACTTTTTTGAAAAAAGAGTGGGGCATGAATGTGGGGAATGAGTCCCAGAATTCATCATCTGACATAGCATTTAGGATCAATCTAGTGTTGCCGGGGTTTGAACACTTCACACACACACTATGACATCAGTCCTTACCAACAGCCTTGTTAGAGTAGGCTAGTATCAGCCCCATATTGTTGAGGGATGGGGAGAACAACTGAGGCCTAATGACTTAGTGGGTTGAGAGGTGGTTTGAACTGGTGGCAGCTCCTTCACTTGCCTGCTGTAGCGAACCAGCTCAGCACAAGTGCTATTGTCAGAGCTCGGTGTTGTTCACGCATTCAAAAAACAAGCTCTGGAATCACTCGGCCACACTGGAAGATCCTCCTTCGTGTCTCCCACCTCTAAAATGTGAAAGGCGGTAACCTTCCCCCATCAGCTTTATTTGGGCAAGCCAAGCACAGAGACTCTCCCGGCTCTTGCGAATTCAAGCAAGTACCGCTGAAGGGGCGAGATGCCTGCTGCTCCCTGAGATCAACGAGTCTGGCTTTCTGTCTCCAGGTACATCCGCTGCCAGAAAGAAGTGGGGAAGAGCTTCGAGAGGCATAAGCTGAAGAGGCAGGATTTAGATGCCTGGTAAGGAAAATTATACAAACTGAGTAAATTTCATGCAGGTTTTTTTTTAGCTGTTGGGAGGGTTGATGAGCAGTGTAGGGTTCTCAAACTCCCCATGGAATTCTGGTCTCTCCTCTAGATTCTGAGACTCCTCTAGTATTATTGTGAGTCTCCTGCAAACCCCTTTTATGGCTGTAAGCACTAGACAGTTGCATTTAAAGGGGGGGGGGGGAGAGAACCAGACACCTGAGGCTGAAAAGAGGCTGGGCTCTGTAGCCCAAACCATATTTTATGGATTTTCTGCACTTTTGCAGAATTGTGGGAAACTGTCAACAGGGTTGGCATGCCGTAATCATTCCTGAGAGAGGCTTCTGACCTCTATTTTTAAAACTCTTTGAGGATGGTGGTTTTGCAGCCTCCCCTAATAGTTCAGGGAGTTCTGTGAACTGGTTTAAATGAAATAACCGCTTTCCCTCCATTGCCCCATCCTCGGTAGGCAACAGGGTGAAATATTGTTGCTCCTCATCCTTCTGCTGCTTTCCAGATGTTTCAAAAACAGTGACTGGTGGGAAACTTCTTTCTATTTATATGGAGCCAGGCGATAAGTCCATCTAGCCCAATAGTGTCTGCTCTGGCAGTCACTGTCAAGATTTCTGGCCCAGAGGTCTTTCCTACCGTCTGTGATCTAAAACCTTTTAACTAGTGTTACCAGGGATTGGACCTGGGTCTTCTCATGGAAACCTGTGCTCTACTACAGAGCCCCTGGGTGGTCTCTGTTCGCATGGCTACTAGTGAGGCCTACGTGGGCTGTCTGTGCTATGGAGCATGGCACAGAATCCTAGGTTTCCAAGACAGGGGTTCCACATGTGGAAATATTTCCTTGAATGTAGAAACCTTGGAGAAATGCTGCAGGTAGGTTAAATGTGCTTGAACCACACGTAGAGCTTTCTCCTCTCCTGCTCTCATTGTAGCTCATTGTCATGCTTTGCATTGTGGTACCCAAGCCTCACCACCTTCGTAAAGCCAAATTCAGATCACATTCTCATGGACAAACATGTATTTGAAAAAGTGTGCATGCACATGAACATACCTTGAATAAACCTTTGCTGGTCTTAGAAGCGTCACTGGACTCTAAATTTGTTCTACTGGTTCAGACCAACACAGCTGACCACCTGGAACTATCTTCATGGCTAAACCTTTTTGTCATTATGGCTAAGTGAAGCTTCCATGTTCAGAGGCCCTATACCTCTGGATGCCAATTACTAGGGGACTGTCAGCAGGGAAGGCTTCATGGGGTTCTTGGAAATGTCTGCCTGGCTACTGTTAGCAAGAGGGTGCTGCACTAGATAGACTGGGGGAGGGGCTTATCCAGCAGGCTTGCTCTTCCTTTCCAAGCATATGTTCTTCAGATGCCCTGCTCCCTGCTTCACAGCTGTGTTTGTGCCTTGCCTACAGATGGGGAAGGGTTTATTTACCAAGACAAAAGGTGGTGGTGTTTGACCCGTCCCTTGGGACTTTTTCCCTCTTTCTCCTTCAATGTCAACTCAGGAACCTCTATAAAATACTGGACAGCTGCAAACAGCTGACAGCGTCACAAGGGGGCAGCGAAGATGACACCACCGGGATGGTAACCATCATCACAGGCTTGCAGGTGGACAACCCAGGCAAACTTTCAGCACCCATGCAGGTGGGTAGGCTCCAAAACAAAAATAATTTGGGGTTTTTGATGAGAGTGGGCCACTGACTCCCTCTCTCTGGTTTTAACTTAGTGAATGGCTTTTTTTGGTTAGATATATATCCCACTTATTATCCATTAGGTTTTCAAAGCAGCTTTACACATTCTCTTGTGCCCCAGCCTCCTGTTGGCCTCAGAATGGCAGGGACATGGATGGGTTAAACTCTTATCCCCCTTCTTCCTAAGATTAGAAGTCTTTAGTGTCCTAAGGGCCAAACAGAGACAAACCAGGTGGCATTGCTTTGTCTTTGGGATGGAATGCTTAAAAGGGGAGAATGAAACTGCGTAGCCCCACCGTTATTGTTTTAATGTGTGCCCGCCCCCTGGGCTCTTTACTGCCGGAGCTCCGCTTCTGTGCTCTCCTGCAGGAAATGACCCCTGATGTTACCTGCCCTGAACCCATCCGCGGGATGGGCGGGCTATAAATACAAATAATAAACAAATAATAAATAGGGTCTGTCGGCCAGTTTAAAAAAATCCTAGAAATGGTAGTGAGATTTGGAATGTTCACAGTAAAACCCAAGTTCTTAGAGAATAACACATCTGTTGAGGTGCACTGTGCACTGGGAGCTACATTAAAGAACTTTTATCTGGCCCATCTGCCTTTTAGCCCATTGTTTTCCTTTTAAGCGGTTACTTCTTCAGGAAGCAGAGACGCCAAAAGGAGTTCAAGGTAACCAAACTCTGATGAAGGAGAACAGTGGGGTATAAAAACATCAACAAACTTTGGCAAAGTGGTATTTTTTGTTCCTTTTCCCTTCTTCCGCCAGAGTTTGGTTACCTTGAACTCCTTTTGGCTTCTCTGCTTCCTTTGAAATGTCTCACTTACTTGCCTTTCAGATGGTGATGGAGCAGGCGGCAACTCCTCGATTTCAGCATTTCCAGTTGTGGCAGCTTTTTGCAGCCCCTTCAAAATTACGGAAGCTGCAGTGGCAGCTGTCAGTGTGCTTCCAGTTTGCAGTAGAAAGCAGCAGCCTGCGAGCAAACAAAATTGCTGAAATTTACACAGGAGGTTGCCTACTGGTCGAAAAGCAAGAAAAAAATGTGGGGTTTTGCTGAGCAAAAAATCCCAGAAATTGCAGTGCAGGGTCCTGTTGAGCTTTATAGCTGTCCAGGTGGTGGTAGGTTAAGAAAGTTAGCCTGAGTAGCCCAAGGTCATCCTTGTGACAGGGTGCGGACTCAAGCTTGGGTCTCCCACCCACCCTGCCTAACCACTAGACACCACTGGCTTGAAGAGACAGAAAACCCTGAACAGATTAGGAGACAAAGTAGAAGTTCAGTGTCTTTTCACAAGCAGGAAAACTGAATTGGTGGCCGCCAGATGGAATATTCTCATTTTAAGCAGACACCAAGTTGTCTATTTAATGGGTAGGTGATACTTTTCGAAGGTAACAATTACTCTCATCCTGTGGCAATGAGTTTTGTAGGTGGCCTCTGGAAATGGGAGCATGGAAGAGAAGCCTGCTTCTGGCAAACTAGTCAAAAGCCAAGTCTCTTATTTTTTTACCTACCACCTGATTTGAGCAGGGGCAGTAGCATACAGGTAGATGGTGTTGCCTCCTTGCCTTTCTTGCAAGATTGCCAGGGAGGAACCGGTTGGCTCCTCTCGGAAGACCTCCAGCCTACTCTTAGGCTAGCACCGGCAGTGGTGGGGAATTAGAGTGGTGTCAGAGGGTGTAGCCCTGCTGCTTCTTCTCTTGGAGTTCCAACTTTCTCGTTCTTCATTTCCCAGTCTGTGATCCAGGCGGCGGCCAACGCCAGCGTCGAGGTGAAAAACGTTCTGGAGTTCTTCAAGCAGTGGAAGGAAATGGGCTGAGGACACAGGAGCCGCTGGGTTGGTTGAAGCTTTGTCTCCTCGTCTCGGGACGCGCAGCGTTGGAACGCAAGAAGTCAAAAACAACCGGCGCTCTTTGGACACGAAGCCGCAGCAGCAGCAACAACCCACGAAAACGAGCAAGTCGGGGGGCGTGCGCACGGAACCACAGGCGCGCGTGCGCACCCCGCCATCACCTCCCCCTCTCACAGAACAGGTGGCGTCCGTGGCGGACTGCGCAGCTGCTTTGAGAAGAGAGACGTATCTCGGCCGGATGGAGGAGAGACGGTCTCCTTTCTCCCAGCTGATGGAGAGACAGGCGAGGTTGGCGAGTGGGAGGGGATCTATTCATCTCCATGAAGCCTGCTTGATTTCTCATCTTTGGAAATCCGCAGGCTGCTTCTTTGTTTTTTTGTTTTGCCTGCGCTTAAACAAGAGAGAGAGAGAGAATATTTCACGATACTTAACTGTCGCATCCATGCTGTGGAAACAGGAGGCTGAAAGAGCCAGTGATCCTGAGAGAGGGGAGCAGGATTTGCAAAGGGGGGGGGGGGGGGGGACTGGTGATGGGGGGAAGTGGACACGTTCTCTTTTTTCCCACCACCCTGCTTTTTAAAAAAAGAAAATGCCTGCCGCCTTGGTTTTTCTTCCCCCTTTAAAAAGGGTTCTGGACTTTCAAATGTTTGAAAGATTTAAAAGCAACAAGGAAACCACGATAAGCAAAAACAACAATGATAAAAGGCTCTTTATATGGGAAGTTTTAGGAAGAAAACTTATTTATTTCCTTTTTCCTTATTGGGGCTGAGGGAGGGAGAAGAGTTCTAGGTGTAAAAAGAAAAAAAAAGTGACTTCTGTGTTTGCCTCCCTTTCTGCGCCTTGCCTCTCTTGTCCAAGATTTCTCGTGTTTCTTTTCTCCCCCCCCCTTTTCTTTGGGCTTTTATTGTAAATTGTTGACATGTTTTTGTGAGTGGTGATGTAGATCTGGCTTGGGCTGCTTGGACAGGGAGTGTAGATGCCCCCTCCACCCCCCTTCCCCCAGGGGTTAAATGAAAATATAAGCGTGGTGCTAATCCACCACCACTCTTCCATTCCCGTTGGCTGGGAGCGGTGACTAGAAAAGTGGCTGGATTTGCTTTAAGGTTCTTTGGGTAGATTTGACCCCAAAAGCCTCCATCAGGTGGCTTTCCACCTCTAAGGAAAAGATGCGAGTAAAGCAAAGCCATTTCGGGAGGAAAAAAGGTAATCTGTCAAGTAAGGTTGGTAGGAAGAAACCCTGATGGCTTCTCTGCTGCCTTGAGAGCCCCTTGGGTCTTCCCGTCTGTGCCTGTCTCCTTAAGAGAGAGAAGGATCCCAACAGGGTGGGCATTGCCCTGCAGTTAAGGGTCCAGAGTGGGACTCTCCATGCTCATTGGTCTGCAGAGGAAATACCGGCAAGTGTGTGCACGTGTCCTTCCTCTCACAGTCTTGGCTTTTTGCTAGTGTCCGTATTTCTGGGGAAATCTCACCTCAGAAATGGGCGATACTTGTCACGGCAGGAAGCCAGGTTCTTGGAGCAGGGGGCATTTGGGGGCCAAACATCACTTGTCCTACACATTAAGCAAAGTTCTCCTTACGCCTTTCTCCCTTCAACTTTCCTGCAATAGGAAGATGCTGAGAGAACAGTGATGATCCCAGTTTCCATCTATTCAATTTCCCCTTCCAAGCCAGGTGAAGAAGGCCAAATTGCTTAGTGCAAGCCCAGCTATACTACTTGCCTTTTTTAAAAAAAATTGTCTCTGTTTCCACTTCCCCTGCTTTCCTTTTTTCTGGTAAGAGAACCGAATAGGTCCTGTGCCTTTGGTGGCACCATGCGCCATCCAGTGGCACCACCTTGGAACAACAGCAAAGCTTTTTCATAGTTCATGTGGTGTTGGCATTTGGCCCTCTGCTTCTGCTGCTCTCCCTAATAGGCTTCCCCCCCACCCTGCGCTTTTACCGACAAGTGGGGGTTAAATCCTCCGTCCCTGTGTGGTGTTTCCAGATGTGGTGATCCCTCTGTCCACAGCTGACAAAGAGACTTTGAGAGCAGAAACTCCGCAGCTCCTGTTCTCTTCAGAGCTCATGGCAAGACTTTGCTGAAAGCACAAAAGAAATTGGGCCCTGTGGAATCCAGTCCGTGCACCTTTCCCCTGATGCAAGCAGGGAAGTCTCCTTGCACCCAGGGGAAGACGCTGCAGTTAGCAAGGCGAATCTGTGGGATCCAGCCTGGGATTTTCACCGCTGTGACACCTGTCCAGTTTCAACATTGAGAGTATTTACGCCTGGCTTGGTTTGGGGGGGGGAGCCGTCTGAGGTGAGGGTGGGAGGTATGCGTGTCCTCAGAGTAGAGAGAGGAGGAGAAATGCCCATCAGCACGTCTAGAGAGCACAGGCTGCAGAAGCCCAAAGCTTGGCCACTGTGTAAGCGTGATTCATGGATGATAAAAATAATGGAATTTGACCTTGTGGAAAGAGACTTCTTGCAACTGAGTTCAGCTGAAAACTTAAACCAGGGGATATGTGTGTGTCGTGTGTATGTGCGCGTGCATGAGGTAACGGAAAGGGAATTTTAAAAAACAAAAAGGCTCGCACAGCTTGTGAACTAGCAAGCCGTGTGTAGCCCTCTAGCCATGTACAGAGACCCATTAGGGACGGGGCAAGGCTCCTGTGTTTGGCTGCCTGCTTGGGTCAGCAAAAACTGAGGCAATAGACCCGTGAGGCCCCAGTTCACTGCTGGCTGGCTTGGTAGGTCAGGCCTGGTGCACATATTTGCAAAATTGACTGATTTCTTCTTTTTTTAAATAAAAAATGCATTGCCATAATAAACATACTTTTAAGAAGAAGCGAATGAGGGAAGTTGGTTCTGTGAAGGGTTTGCCTGCAGTGAGCTGCCTTGAGGCGAATTCCTAACATTCTAAAGCCATGATCTTCTTAAAGTGACGGTGGACATAAAAGGCCTCCATGCACAGTTGGGCAGAACCCCGGCATGGGCATTCCAGGAGGGCCTGAGCTGGTCCTGGCTTCATTGGGAGTGGGTGGGGCTTTCTAGAAATACAGACTTGACAAGAGCTTTTTGATTTAGCCTATGAGTTTGTGAGGAGGCTCTTCTTGAACTACTGCTCTTAACCGTTCTGATAGGAAAGTCTTCCCAAGGGTGTGTTGGGGGCAGCCCACGTGTCTTCTCTGTTACTTTAGAGAGGGGGTCGTTGGGTCACACTTTTTTTTTAAAATCACAACCCTTGCAGATTGTGTGTTTCAGACGTATACTCCTTAATTACTTTGAAACGTGTCTCCATTTTTGAATTGATCAAGTTTACCCAGAGCCCAACTCTCTTGTCAGGTCGGTGATCCTAAAGCAGAGTTTCAAATCCTAAGGGCTTGCTGAGGATGCAATGGCATTCTGCACGGAAGGGGGGGGGGAAATGTCTGATGACTGCTGAGTGACCGTTTCAGGAGCCATGGGATGTCTGAACTCTGCTCGTGTCCTGCCAAATTCTCAAGCGGCGGGAGTTTCCCTAGCACCATCAATGCCACATCTGAGCAACACTGGTTTCCACCAGCAAGTACTCCTGTTGGCCTTCAGATTTCAGAAACGCAGTTCAGCAGGTCTTCCTCAAATGGTCAGCAGCAGATGCTAGCAAGGGGAGCAGCCTTCTTTTCCTAGAACTGGGAAAGGGAAGTAGGTAATATAAGTAAAGGAATTTCCATCTCTGCTGTTCTTCCCTTAGCCTGCCCTACAATGGAGCCATGGAGCCTTTTTGGTCTAGTTCAGCTGAAAAGTCCCTTTTGGCCACACTGCTGTTGTCTTTTTTTAGAACACCCCCCACCCCCGTGCTAATCAGTAGGGATTTATTCCTCTAGCTTTAGTGCTGACTGAAGTCCACAGTCGATGCTTGTCTGACAAATGATGAGCATCTAATTCTTCCCAAGAAACATTAGCCCTAAAGTGTGTGAGAAGCCCCTTTTAAACAGGCTGGCTTCCCTTGATGTCAGCGCATGGCAACCAGCAGGTTCTTAAAAAGCACACTGAAGGGAAACATCTGGATCCACCCTTTTTTTGAAAAACATCTCCGTAACCGGCCATGCAGTACTTCCTGTAGAACTACTGAGCTCTTCCTCCTGAGGGTTAGATAACTACAGTTAAATAGCCAAGCAGGAAGAGGAGAAACCAGGCTTTTTTAAAAAAGAAAAAAAAAAGGTTTGGATTATCCACCTTTAATGCTTTTGGCTAGTGGGGTTTTTGGTTGGAGGGGCAGTACTGTTGCCCGCCGGGTAACTTGTCTTTGTTTTGAGATGATGGTTTGGATTATCCACCTCTAATGCTTTTGGTTAGTGGGGTTTTTGGTTGGGGAGGCAGTACTGTTGCCTGCCGGGTAACTTGTCTTTGTTTTGAGATGATTAAATTTATCATAACCCTTGTCAGGTTGGTGATTTGCTGCCGTGGCCATGTTTGGAAGTCTTGAGAGCTAAATCTAGTGCCTGGGAGGCAGGGGTGTGCGAGCGTGCTTTTGCATGCAAAAGATTAGCTATGGGTGAAAACGATGGATGGGATCTCATGGTTCTGTTCCACTAACAGTGGCGCTTTCCCCCAGTGCAAGGATCCTTCCCCTAACAAGAGAGCCTCTTGAGTCAGAGGAAGGCTCCACAGGGGAAAGGATTACCGTTCGCCAAACAGGGCTCTGGGATCCAACCCACTGTTGTAACATTAGGTGCTGATTTGTTCATTGTTAGCATGTGAGAGGGAAGTTGCCATGAGGCCAGGTTCCCCCACAGGAAAGGGAACCAGCTGCCAGTAATGACTCTGCTTCCAAAAATTTGGTCTTCACAGTAGATGATGAACAAGGGGGATTTCAAAAGGCAACATGCTCTGTGGGAGGTGTGCACATGCACCCATGTGTTTACAAGCAGCCACTCGATGCACTGTGAGTTTGTGGCCCTGGGCACCGTTGCTAAACTAGTTGCCGTACACGAGTGTACGTGAAGCTCTTTCACGAGTGGAGATGGCAGGAGGAGGAAGTGCTGTGCTCTGGCCCCTGATTTCATAACACACCTTGACTGTGATTGGTTGGAATGCATCAACTGGCTTAATAAAAACGCAAGATGTTTGTAAATCTTTATTCCTGGTCTCAGTGTTGTTGTTTTTTTTTAAAAAAAATCTCCCCCTTTTCACTTTGGCCAGGGGAATGCTGTGTGTAGGTCTTTGGATTTATAAGGACTTGCCCCTCAGTCAGATCGGCAGTGATCCCAGGCGATGGATGTTGCCTTCAGCTGTTTGGTACGTCTGACTTGTTGGTCTCCCCCCCCCCTCACCCAGAGCAAAACAAGGAGTTAGACTGGGTAGACAGATGTGGTCTCTGTGGCCTCGTGTTCTTCCCTGACTGTTATACTAGGAGTTCAAAATTCTGCTGATTTCTCTTCGCACCCTGAGTAGTAATTCCTAGACTAGCCTGGGCTTTCCATGGTAGTGCTGCTCACATTCCGCACCCAAAGGATATACTCAAGAGGCTGCCAC